GGTAGGCTGCTTGAGTTCCCTGTGTATTCTGGTTCTCAGTCCCTTATCTGAGGCACAGTTTACAAAAGTATTCTTCCATTTGAGGGTTGTTGATTCACACTAGTTACTGTGTCCTTTGCTGTGCAGAAATTTCTTAATCTGATACAACCCTACTTGTCTATTTTAGGGATTATTGCCCATGCTTTGGGAGTATTTTTTAAGAAGTCTTTGCCTACCCTAGTGTCTCAGTTTCCCCTGTGTTTTCCATCAGTAGTTTTATAGTTTGAGGTCTTAGGTTCCGATTGTTAGTTCATTTTGAGTTGATTTTTGTTAATGGTAGAAGATGAGAATCCAGTTTCATCTTCCTGCAGGTGGATAACCAGTTTATCCAGCACCATTTGCTAATCAGGTTTTTCTTTTCCCACTAGATTGATTGGTATCCTTTGTAAAAATTAGTTGGCTGTAAGTTTTGGGTTTTTTCCCTAGGGTCTCTATCCCATTGGCCCACCTGTCTGTTTTTGTCCCAATACCATGTTGTTTTGATTATCACAGCTTTATAGTACATTTTGGGGTAAGGGAGTGAGATGCCACCCACTTTACTCTTCATGTGCAGGATTGCTTTGGCAATATGAGGTATTTTATGATTCCAAACAAATTCTATGATTGTATTTTTAGATCTGTGAAAAATATCTCCAGTATTTTGATTGGAATTTTTTTTTAAGAAAAAAAATTGTATTTACTTAGAAGCATTCAAAATGTCAACAAAAGAGCCACAACTTTTATTTTTGCAATTACAGAGTGGTATTATTTCATATAAGTTGCATCAGAGACAACTGAAGATAAAATAACTACCATCCCCACATCTAACTAATTTGTGCTGTGCACCAACAAGAACCTGCTTTAAATTTCCATGCCAATTTACAACCCCCATACTGTACCAGGCAAGGTTAGTGGCTATTGAAAATACCACCAGGACAGGGCTATCTAAAGACACATTCGGTAGTGTGTTAACTATACCAAAAAAGATACTGTACAGTTTAAAAACAAATCTTACACAGCCTTACATTTCAATTTTTTTTTTTTTAAAAGGAGTGAGTTGTGTACAGGGGGTTAAATGTTTTATAGACAAAGAAAAAAAAAACTGCGATAAAACCAACTTATTCATCATCATCATTTTCTTCTTCATCTTTTTTTGGAGAGGTTTTTGCTATAGGGCGTGTGCACTTGCCAGACAGACAGAGATAGATAGAGAGATAGAAAATGAGAAATCACCCCCCAAGGGGTATGGCCATGCCGCAATCCCTTCTCCATTCTCCTCTCGGGATCTTGGGCACGCACGCACACGCGCCCGGCGTGAGTTTTAAGCCACCGGGTCCGGGACTCGAACTTCAGTCGACTATGTCAGAGTCCAGCGACATAGCCATTATGCTAACTGCTGGTCCCCATCTTCATCCTCTTCATCTTCTTCTTCCTCATCTTCTTCATCTTCCTCGTCCTCCTCCTCCTCCTCCTTCTTTTTCTTGCTCTTTTTAGCCTTGACAACTCCCTTTTTTGCTGCATCAGGCTTTCCTTTAGCTTGGTATGCAGCAATGTCCTTTTCATATTTTTCCTTCAGCTTAGCAGCCTTCTTTTTTTTTTTTTTTTTTTTTTGGAGAGGTTTTTGCATGAATATTATAATCAGCAACCTGATTAGAATTTCATTCAAGTATTTGTTAATACCTATGTAATAGTTCTGCTAATCAACATTGTTACCCCCTTTACAATGTGTGTTTTATAATAAGTCACAAAGTCATAAATACAATAGAAAAATAATATGGTCTC